GATCAGTTCAAACTACATGCTGACTGTCAGTTTTTAAATCTGCCCTTTATTGTCTAAGGCTGGTGCCTGCGACCTCTCATTCAAACTTTAGTACTATCCATTGGTCACATGTAACTACTAAACCCCAGACGCTTTTAACCAGTAACAGTACCTTAAATTTTACAAACCACATCCCTGCATCCTCTGTGCTGACAAAAAAAACAGAACGGCAGAGACATTTTATCCAAGTTTAAAGCTGAAACTGAAAGCTGAGGTTAAACAGCTGAGTGTTCACAGTAAGTAGAGTTTGATTGGCATCTCCAGAAGAATATACACCCATGCTTTCCCACTGACACGCAAACCAACCCACTCAGCTCCCCAGCACGTGTTTGTCACACACATGAACCCCTCCACTCTCCGACCCATACACTCTCTCAAACACACACATACACACACCCCTGTCATTTCCCGTGACATCCCCAGCCTCCATTACCTGCATGCATTAACAAACCTCTCTGATGTTAAAAATTATAATTCATACATTTGAATAATTCAGATTACTTTAAAAGCTGTGCGCTCACACTCGCTCACTCTCTTCCCAGCGCGAATGAAAAGTGTTTACCTCAAATCACATTCGAATAAATCCTATAAGTCCTTTTAAAATTCCTTAGATAAACCAATCAAATACCCCCAGCGCTGGGCTGACTGGCCAATCAAAATTAGCATTCGTAGAAGCGGCCTAGTTTTACTTAAAAGCCATCAAATAGCAAACCAAATTGCAGCGTCTATTTGTGAGGTTCAGTTTGTTAGAGTTAGAAAAAAGGTGATAAATAAAGTGAGAGTGAGAGAAGAAGGGGCCCTGCTGCACCAGATGTGTGTGCACGTGTGTGTGTGTGCATGTGCGCATGTGTGTGTGGTGAGAGAGAGACATTTGAAAACAGTCAACAAGAAACAGGTTAGCAAACTGCACGTTCCCTTTAGATTAGATCTAAGGTTTGGATGGTGAGACCTCACATCTTTTCTCATCTCACTGTCCATGTCGGTTTCTGTTAATTCCAGCTATCTGTAAATCATAACCTTCTGCTTCCTTTTTCTGTGTTTTCAAAACAACAACTGTCTCTGACACTCATATTTCCTGTGCTGTAACGGATTACTCCCCACCCTACACTCAACACACGCGCAAACAGTTCCCATAACTTCAGAGGACATCACTCTGACTTGCACTCATGTCACAGACTTGTGCCAATCCCGTGGTTCTCAAATTGTGGGCTGGGCCCCCTTTGGTTCCTAGTTGGCACAGAGCCAGCACGGGGGATGTGTGAACAATGGGCATTTTGACTCTGTACGTTTAGACCTGCAGCGATGCAGTGGTGCAGTGTGGAGTGCTTTCATTTGGGGGACAGTGACAAAAATATCTGAAGTATCCGGTAGTGTGGGTAACTCTGGTTGGTGTTTGTGCTATTGCGGGTCCTTATGTGCAGCCCATGCAACTTGTGTTAGTGTTTAAAAAAAAAGCACAAACACTCAATTGTATCTCCTGTTTGAGCTTCTCACACATGCTTCTTTTTTTAATTTTGCACTTCTTCCTCTTAATGGTGAACTAAAAAAAAAACACTTTTTAACCAATCAGTAGTCTGTCTATACATGGGATTATTACTTGTACATGTTGATGGCTTCTTGGCAGTGTACAGGAGTGTGCCTCCATATAAGTTGAATTCCTACAATCCCTTTCTTGGACACACAGGGAAATGCAAACTTACACCAAAAGGTAGAACGATAAAAATTCAGTGACTACAGTTTATATTTAAATTTAAGATTCAACTTGGAATGAGCATTGCTCATGACACACACAAGCCTATTAAGGTTATCCATTGTAGTGCATGAGGTCCTGGAAATTAGGAGTGAAAGATGTATATACAGATTTATGTATTTATTGTTGGTAGTTAGCAATGAAAGCTAAACTTGTTTTTAAATCTATGCATGTGTCTTCCCAAAGTCTGAGTATACCCTGTATTTCTAACGGGCAGGTGCGTTTCTTCCTCCTGATTTCACCCAAATCATACGACCATAATCGTAAAAACATACAAATACACACCAAGGTTCAAGCAGCTGGTGAGTTTGTCCTTGACTGCCCACCCTGTGGCAGTGGCATGGATGCAGCTGTTTTAGAGGGTTCAGGATGGGATTTTAAAAGCCGTGTCCTTGTCAAGGGTGGACTCTTGGTTTATTTTTTTATTTTTATTTATTTTATTTTTTTATTTTTTTTTGG